TATGCATTTTATGTAAGTACGGGTATTTACTGAAAAGATAAATGTCATATACAATTAATATTTTTCGTATTTCTTTATCCGTAGGAATTTCCATACCTCCTCATATATTTTAAACATGAAGTTTTAATTTTTTAATTTTGTGATTTTCTTGACGTTTTTGTGCTTTTTGATATATTTATTGTTATTTTACGGTTTTCGCAGCGCTTTCTAGTGGGAAATGATTAAGCCCACCTGGCAACACTGCCAGACGCTGGCCGCCATGTTGCATGGAGAGCCAGAAGTGTTGAAAAACATTTTGAAAGTAATACAAAATGACATTTTTCAACGGCAACCAACCAAAAATAACACGATAAGGTGTACAAAATGCAATATTTAAAAGAAGTGATTTATAAACCTGCTTTAATATCTAGTGACGTGATGATAATTTTGGTATCTAGCGTCATTTAAAATTCCCGCTAATATTGTGAGCTGAAGCTCATTGGCTTAAGTCGGACACGACGCGCTAGAGCCCCCTTCCCCCCTGATTCTGGATCAAATATTGTCCTCTTCTTTCTTCTGTCCTTTCTCTGGTCTCTGCATAAAGTGATTAATCGGTCACATTCCGAAGTTCATTAGTATCAAATGACAATGACGTCACAAGCCTCGCCCAATGACGCATTCTGCTTTTGCTCGAGCAATGACGAAGAAGCACGTGAGCCAGGATAATTTCATTAGCTTTGACAGTTGTTACTGGTTATCGCATTGCCAACACGTAACGGTATATTATTTACGTTTGTTAATTTCTTTCGCAAATTATGGTAATTTTAGCTGTGCAATATATAAACTAAATATGTTTATTAAATTAAGATGCTGTGATTTTTATTTCTTTATTTAATGTGACAGAAACTGTCATTTCAACTTATTCGGTAGTATACGTAGAAAAGTGGCAAACCTGCTGGAATTCCCCATTGTGATAATATTGTATTGCATTTTTACTTAGGGCATGCAAGTGTACTCGACTACTCAAGAAATGATGGGTTAGTTGATGACATATAATGAATGAGTTAAAGGTTTGTCCTGCATCTGAAAGGCGTCAAGTGCTTTATCAAGAAAGCAGTGAAAAGTCCATTTTTTAAGAATCTGGAAAATCATCAGTAAAAGGTATTACTACTATAATGAGTAGCCAATGGGTGTGCTAACCACTTTTAGGAAGTTAAATTATTTTGATTGTTTAATATTTATTAAGAGAGTGTTTCACGATTCTATTGACCGTTTGCCCCACTCGATTCACCACTTGAATTTTGTTCTGAGGTCTTTGTTCTATTTTTCATTGTTGATGACTGTTTTACAAGATTTCTTGTGTCTTCTTCAATTATATTACTAGTTGATGTTTTATATATATATATATATATATATATATATATATATATATATATATATATATATATA